AAGAGGTGCCTTGGCGCGGCAGTGCGGCTTACACATCCTTTGTAGAAGACGTGTATCCAAACCTCTGTCATTGTCCTTAGTGGTGAGACAAGTTGTTTTACATGCTGGTTTGTGAGTGTGCCATGATGCCTTTCTACTGTACCACTGTTCAAAGCCCATTTCGTGTGCACCTTACTGTATAACTGGTAACAAATTGCTGAGTGCGTTTGTCGTTTGTTTTGCTTTAGACTGAGCCCCGTCACACTTTTACCGATCACGTACAGCTATAAACTGATCATATGCTTGCACACAAAAGTCAACTAAAAGGTGTGAATGTTGGGTGAAAGTTGTGTGAATCTTGGGTGAAAGTTGTGTGAATCTTGGGTGAAAGCATTCATGAGCAAACCCCTTTGTGCTGTTGTATTCTCTTTAGCTGTGGCATGGATTTCGGACGTCGGGGGCAGTGGTGTCCCTAGTGGATGGGGGGGTGCACGCAATCCGACAATCAGAGCAGCGGGTGGTGAGTAGAGAAGACAATGCCACCAGACATGAGTGGCGCCGCCCTCTGCTGGCTCTGCATCTCCCTGCCAGGCTCTGAGCAACCTGGGATGCTCTGGCCGGCAACCCACCCAGCACCTGGCAACCAGTGATGTCACGGGCGCCAGCCAGAGCAGTGATGGGAATGTACGTCTTAGACAGTTGTCACCGGAACAGGGGTCCCTATTAGCAGATTTTTCCTCACCTCCTGTTCTGGTGACAACTGTAAAATTCTAGATTTTAAATCATTTCTGTCTCAGTAACAGTGGTCACCACAACAGATAGAGAGGGTAAATCATTGCTGGGCCAAGGCAGAAGAGCCGTGCTAGGGAGGGGGGCACAAATGAGCCTGACAGGTAACTTCTAACCCTTCCCTACTCCTAAAAGTAAAACATTTGGCGCTGGATACAATGTAACTATTGGAGGATTTTTCTGTCTCCATCTCCAATATCCAATGAAGTTCAGAAGAAACTGCTACAGTCAGCACCGGCCGAGATGACACATCCTTCCCTGTGATTGCCACATACAGCTCTGATTATTCCGGGGAGCTGCCTGGCAGGCCACTGGCAGGTAACAGCGCATGACAACATCATGCGCAATGATGCGCAATGATGTCATTGTGGGGTGTCACCCGGTTCCCGCTCCGGGGTGACACCCCACCTTGGAACGCCACTGGAACGCCCCCCGGGACCACGGATCAGGTGAGTATATCTTCTTTATTTGAGCCCTGTAGATCACAACAAGCAGTTAACCCTTCCTGTGCCAGGGGTAGCCCCACTGCAAAGTTACATTTTATTTTTTTTATTCCCGGAGTTCTCCTTTAACTGTCCGGTATTTTTTGAAGATTGTCCGTTGGCCTTCAGACGTGACTCAGAGGCGGAGATTAGGCGTCTGCAGACAGAATTCCTATATATTCCTAATGATTCATATAGTGGAAAGCAGTGG